AAGGATATGGTCTATATTTAAATTTATTTTGACCTCAAGCGGTGCCTCCGTTTCGCTTGATTCTTCTTCTTCATCTTCAGTGGAAGATTGTCTTGCAAGATGTAAAATCAGATCGTATTGATACCGTCTAACATCCATTTCAGAAATGACATCAAGAACATCTTTTACTGCTTCAGCATCCACGGACACTGTTAAGTTGTGAGGTAAAATCAGAGAGGAAGCCATCAGCAACAGGCACTTATGACGTCAAGTCACGTGATACCCCCTCTGCACATTAACTGTCGGGTGTTTCCATAATAGGCGGAAATACGAGTATGTTTTTGTGTTTTTATTGCTATTTTACAAACTTTTTGTTCAATTTTAATCACGGAATGTGACTTATAGAATACCCTTTACAATATTTCAAAAGTTTTGTTTTCGTTCGTATTCTCCTTTAAGTTATTTTCACTGCAGAGTACTACACAGGCTATAGCTAGCATTGTTATAAAGTGAATTCATCATTTCTAAACTGGAATACTCCTTGTAGCGAGGTCATGCAGTAGCTATATGTCTCGGCCAGTTTGTCAGCAACAGCTGAGAGATGCCACATTTAGCTAAAATATTTTACTTAGTAGAGAAAATGTGTAATTGTCCAGCCACACTAAATTATCATGAAAGTTTGGCCACTTCAAGGTTGAATGGAGTATGAATGGTTAACTGTTGTTGTGACACACACGGCCGGTGATAAATATGTTTGTGAGCTTGTGATTCATGTATAATGGTCACCAAATGACAGATAATCCTGCTCTGGGGGCAGTCATTTTCTGAAAATGAGGCTTGTTCGGAAATAGAAGGTGTAAGGGATGGTTATTTTCATTCCTCTGTTGCCATTTAAAGTACAGGATATGAATATTGCAATTACATGAAATTACGCCGTGAAACATTGAATGGGAGAGATGTGTGTGTTTTGTGGCAATGTGATTCTGCACATCTGATACTATCAGTGCACCCTCTGTGTGTCAGAGGCATCATTCAAACAGTGGTGACACAACATTGGTGACACAACCGTGGTGACAAAACAGTGGTGACACACCATTGGTGACAAAACAGTGGTGACACAACATTGGTGACACAACACTGGTGACACAACTTTGGTGACACAACCGTTGTGACAAAACAGTGGTGACCCAACCATGGTGACACAACATTGGTGACACAACCGTGGTAATACAACAGTGGTGACACAACCGTTGTGATAAAACATTGGTGACCCAACCGTGGTGACCCAACCGTGGTGACCCAACCGTTGTGACAAAACAGTGGTGACACAACATTGGTGACACAACCGTGGTAATACAACAGTGGTGACACAACCGTTGTGATAAAACATTGGTGACCCAACCGTGGTGACCCAACCGTGGTGACCCAACTGTTGTGACAAAACAGTGGTGACACAACATTGGTGACACAACTGTGGTGATACAACATTGGTGACACAACCGTGGTGACAAAACAGTGGTGACTCAACAGTGGTGACACAACCGTGGTGACAAAACAGTGGTGAGACAACACTGTCCACAGCCAGGAGTGAGATTTACATAGTGATACCTCACATTATTGACCTTAATTTCACAGCTGACAGGAATTGTCACCAGGACTGGAGATTGCAGCGTCTGTGAATGTGAGCAGTTTAAATTTAATCTGAAATTATTAGTTCCTCAGGCATGTTTATTGGCATTTTAATTGCTCTGTCATACAGACAGCGTTCAAGGAAATTACAAATCTACCCTTCTATTATTTGGTTGGATGAATTAAGTAGGAGTAATCTGTAATCTTGACTGATTCAAGGTCAGAAACATGTAACTGCCCCCATTTATTGTTTTGTTATCTGCTGATTATAAAACACCATCTTCTGATGGAGGGAACTGTTGGCGTTGGTATTTGTGCTTGTCCTCACCCAGGGATAAAGTCCTGTTTGCATGTGTTCACTTATTTCATTCCCTGAGTATATGACTGGCAGCCTGCAGACAGAAGATGGTGCTCAGTTGCCAGTCATAGAAGTAGTGTGCCAGTTCTTCCTGAGCCTGTTGGCCTTATGAAAGAAGATCACTATCAAGCACACTGAATATCTGTTTTAACTTGACAGCTTTATGGGACAACATTTCTTGGTTGACAGCTCGATTAATAAATAAGATTTATTGCACTTTAATCTTGCTGAAAACGATGTGACTATTTAGCAGGTGTTAATGAAGAAACAGGATCTACAGAGTTATGTTTAGATATAGGTGGTGAAATGTACTACTAAAAACAAGTTGAAAAGCACCACAACTGGAAGGCTCTGTGTTGCAATATCTACCAGCAATGACAGATTAACAAGTTATGTGTAAAATTGGGTATTCTTTTATTTCTTATAGTATATGTGTTCATCAATGGAACTATGCATGTGTCACTTAATTCTATTGCTGGACACATTCTTGAAGTGAAATACAGGAAATACAGGAACCAGAAATGTTTTATTCAGTGCCATCAGATAGTTGGTGAATAAGTTGTCTTGATATATATACACATGTCTGGAACAGCACACAACCCTTTCTTGATTGCTGCAACACCAACACCATCACAATGGTCTTCACTTAACCTGACTCTACTTAAGCTAAAAACAATTAACCCTATAACACGAAACCTTAACTATACTGACCGCCTCCGTGGTGTAGTGGTTAGAGCGTCCACCCGGGAGAGCGGAAGGTCACGGGTTCGATCCCTGACCGCGTCATACCAAAAGACGTTAAAATATGGTACTTGTTGGTCCCTGCCTGGTGCTTGGCATAAATGGGTACAACAAGGACTGGTCGGCTCGGAGTCAGTATAATGTGTCTGAGTGGGGTATTCATGCTTCACTGCGGCATGGTATCTCAGTGAGCTAGCACTATAAAACCAGCTTAAGTCTGGGCTAGTACAAGCAGCCGCACATACACATACACACGCATGCACGTCGTCATATGAGTGAATTATTCACAAGCACGACGTTAAACCCAATTTCACCTCACCTCACCTTAACTATACTTAACCCGACTCTACTTAAGCTCAAAACAATTAACCCTGCAACACTAAACCTTAACTACACTTAATCTCACTATGCTTAAGCTCACAAACTTAACCCTACAACACTAAACCTAAGTACACTTAACCTGACTCTGCTTCAGCTCATAACAATTAGCCCTATAACGCTAAACATTAACAACATTTAACCTGACTCAACTTAAGCTCATAACAATTAGCCCTACAGCTCTAAACCTAAGTATACTTAACCTGACTCTGCTTAAGCTCAAAACAATTAACCCTGCAACACTAAACCTTGACTACACTTAATTTCACTGTACTTGAGCTCACAGAATTAACCCTGCAACACTAAACGTTACCTACACTTAACCTGACTCTGCTTAAACTCACAACAGTTAACCCAGCAACACAAAACCTAACTACACTAAACCCAACTCTTTAGCTCACTACATTAAACCTAACAACACTGACCTCAGCAAGAATAAAGCTTACATTTCTAAGCCCTACAACACTAACCTCAGCAAGAATAAACCTCACATTTCTAAGCCCTACAACACTAACTTCAGCAAGAATAAACCTCACAATCCTAAGCCCTACAATACTAAACCTCACAGAACTAAACTGCACATGAATAACCATGCTGTATTGTGGAGACTGAGGTTTCAGTATGGGTCCAGATTATTACACAAAGTGTGATAATAATTACATCAGTTGGTTGTTCAAAAACATAGCAGAGTTTATAGTTAGAGAATTTTATGAATGAGACATTTTGTAGAAGATTGTCAGTGCCTTCTACAGAGCGACACAAGACCAATTCAAGGGTTTAGAACATGACTATGTGTAATAAGCTTGCCATGTGTTGACTGTATACTTTTTGAAAAACACTGAATTCCTGTCAGCTCTTAATTCTATTTGAGATATAGGGATGGGGACTGCGCATTGTGAGTGCACTGACACATATAATAGAGCTTTTTACTTTACATAATTGCTGCTGCTATATGTTTGACTTTGTATAGTCCTGTATTCACCTCCTTGTATGGATGGCATCACACACAACAACTGGGGCTCAAGGATCGGAATTAAACCTGCTGGTCTGGTTGTAACAGTGCAGTTAATGATGCATCTCTATGGTTACATGTCCCATGCTTGCTATGCATACAGTTTGCCTGCATTATGATGCCTCATGGTGTAATTGTGTTGGTAATATTAAAAATCATCTTTGATAATGATTAGGATTCAAAACTGCCCTTTACTAATGCTAATGTTGCATCTGAATTCATCCATATTGACTGGAGTACGTCTGCAGGGAAACGTGCCATCTCCTCTGTCTCATCATCCTCATATGTTGGAATTGATTACTAGCACCATGAGGATGAAGAAACAGATAAATGTTTCAGGACGTTTTATAATTATTATAAAAATGTTGCAATCACTGACCTATAATTACATACAAAAGTTTATATTACGAAATGGACCATAAATACTTAAATGTAAAAGGACAAGAGACTTGCTGAAAGAAAGACTTGAAAGCTGTGATTGGCTAATGGTAGAAGCATCACTCATGAGTGGCTGAGAAGGGCATAATTACCTGTCTGTGGAAATGTATTAAATGTGTTTTTGAAACAGCATAAATATTTCTTATCTGAGCGTCAGACTTAATTAGGGACTGAAATACTGAGCATTTCAATATTGGATGAATTGATCTGTTGATAAAGATGATTAAAAGACTTTCTTCAACAGATTCCAATATTAGCTCTTCTTATTAAATCTGAACACTTACTCTGTAGCACAGCAATCCGGCTTTAGGCTTTTGTGACAACCGATCTCCTTGTATTGATTATCAAGTTGAAAAAAGAAACATTAAGTACCACCTTGATGGCCAGATACTGAATTTATGTGCAGTTATTCAGTTAACATATGATAAGAGAAATTAATTAAGTGCTGTCTGTCCTACTCACCTGTCTGGGTAGAGACTATATAACTGCAGACTTGTATCGGCGAGTCACTGAAGCATTCAGCTTCCTCTCATTGACAACTGTTGTAGTGTGAACTATGAACAATTGATTGACAGTGTAACATACGCATAAAGCCTGCCCGCTGCCTCCAGAGGTTGGTTCCAGAACAATTGTCTTTCACAGGCAGTAGCAAACAGCCTTGTTCGCTTGTTGAATGATTGCAACCATTTTCAATGTTCTCCAAACATCTTGTCAGATTGGGACGTCAATACTTTGTTCTTCTGTCACATTTTGTTGACTGAAGCTATGGGTCATGCAACATGGATTATTCTCCTTTGACAAAGTAAGTGAAGCATTTAGTTTTACTGTCATGCTGAAACAACTGCTGTATCGATGGATGTTATGGCCATGTTGGTAATCCATCCATATCACTTTATGTGGAGCCTCTCGCTGCAACAACAGAAACAACTGGCATAGATTTTTACTGAATTACTATTGACAGTTGACACAAGCATGATGGCTACTCAGGGACAATGTAGCGCTCATTCATGTTCAAATTTGCATGCGTCAAGAGATAGTTGTATTGATTTGCTGTTATTACTCATGCGATAATGTTTCTCCACTCAAGAGTTGGGGCAGTTTTAGAAGGAATGTAGGATCAAGCCTGAAGTCAGGTTCACTGTCATTTGGGGAATTAATACACTTACCAACTGGCAAGACAGTGACCTGGCTGCTGCACTAACCACAAACAATGAGTAACTAAACCAGTTTCAATTATCCTCATACACAGTGTGTCTGAATTAGTGTACATGTCATACACAATGTGTCTGAGGTAGGCTATATGTCATACACAGTGGTGTCTGAAGATACATGTCATACACAATGTGTCTGAAGTAGGATACATGTCATGCACAATTTTTCCAAAGTAGGATACATGTCATACACAATGTATCTGAAAGATACATGTCATACACAATGTGTCTGAAGTAGGATACATGTCATACACAATATGTCTGAAGTAGGATACATGTCATACACAATATGTCTGAAGTAGGATACATGTCGTACACAATGTGTCTGAAGTAGGATACATGTCATGCACTATTTGTCAGAAGTAGGATACATGTCATACACAATGTATCTGAAAGATACTTGTCATACACAATGTGTCTGAGGTAGGCTACATGTCATACACAGTGGTGTCTGAAGATACATGTCATACACAATGTGTTTGAAGTAGGATACATGTCATACACAATGTATCTGAAAGATACTTGTCATACACAATGTGTCTGAGGTAGGCTACATGTCATACACAGTGGTGTCTGAAGATACATGTCATACACAATGTGTTTGAAGTAGGATACATGTCATGTACAATTTGTCCGAAGTAGGATACATGTCATACACAATGTGTTTGAAGTAGGATACATGTCATACACAATGTATCTGAAAGATACTTGTCATACACAATGTGTCTGAGGTAGGCTACATGTCATACACAGTGGTGTCTGAAGATACATGTCATACACAATGTGTTTGAAGTAGGATACATGTCATGTACAATTTGTCCGAAGTAGGATACATGTCATACACAATGTGTCTGAAGTAGGATACATGTCATACACAATGTGTCCGAAGTAGGATACATGTCATACACAATGTATCTGAAAGATACATGTCATACACAATGTGTCTGAAGTAGGATACATGTCATACATAATCGGTCTGAAAGATATTTGTTATACACAATGTGTTTGAAGTAGGATACATGTCATACACAATGTGTCTGAAGTAAGATATATGTCATACACAATGTGTCTGAAGTAGGATACATGTCATACTCAGTGTGTGGAGTTAGATACATGTCATACACAATGGTGTCTGAAGTAGGATACATGTCACTGAAGCTGAACCTTGACCATGTGAAGTAAGGTTTGTATATTGTTTGTCGTATACGAGTTTGCTCCAACCACATAACTGTCACAATGTCAAGGAGCTGTGTGTTGTAGAGTTGTGATCCCATAAGCACATAATATGTCAGAAAATGTAGATTATTTTCAAGGTGTGTTTTTTTTCCAGTCTGGCTCCTTGAATCCGTAATGCAATAAAAAATATTGATCTGGACTGATATTTTTATTTTCCCTCCTCAATCAATCAAATTTGCTCGAAATAATCCTTAACACATGAAACAAACCTTGCCTCAGCATGATGTTGCGTTGAAGCAGACTGGTATTCCTTGCCTTTGTTCAGTTACGTGTCAAGTTTATCAATGTATATTAAAATGTCTGATTAAAGAATTGTGGCTGCAGCACCTATCACAAGACTCCACTAAAAGCCATAACTATCTCAGCTGTGAGATAATGTATCAAGTTATGACTCTGGCTCATTCCTGAAATCAGATTTCAAACGTTTAATTGTATATTTATTTCTCTAGGCTTGTTTTCACTTTTCTTTTTAACTTTAGCCTGCTGAATTAATTTCATCATAAAGCGTTGTGAACAGGGTGAGCGTAATTAAATACGGAACAACTGAACCAATATTTTGCACATCAATACTTAACAGAAAAATACACATTTTTATCCCAAATAAGCTGATATTTTCAAGCATACAGAGTATTAGTCCAAAGCAAGCATAAATAATGTAACTTTTCTTGAATTTACCTGAATTACTTGAATATGAACCTGAATAAATCATAAAATTTGTGCTAATCGATTTCAATAGTCGCATGTCCAGTTACAGTGTCTCTCTAATATTCAAAAATGTTTGTGATACAATGTCACCACATATTTTGTTCAAATGATACCATTACATTTATTCCAATGAGTCGCGTCATAAAAATTGCAGAATATAATAAATGATTTATGAATATTTACCCATCCTAATTACAAGTGATACTGTTCATTATTTTCAACTCAGGACAGCACACATGCAGTGTTATATTGCATTTTACATACGAAAAACAAACATGGTGCACTTCGTCTGACCTCTGCATAAGATATTTCAACTTGAATACTGATACCAATACCGCTCTAGTATATAAAGATGATGAACTCTAACATCATTTTTCCAGTATGTATTTTCCAGATATTATGTCACAGACAGGGGTTGTCTGCAAATTTGGAGATATTTCGTCTCTCAAACCCAAATTTAAAACAAGGGTCTATTTAGTTTGTTTGATCATAGCTCACATAAAAAACACCCATTGTATTATTTACCAATTAATTGGGATATCCCAGAAACTGTTTGACCTTGTATGCTCCAGTGATCTGGTAGTTGATCGTTCACTGCCTGCGTTGTCACCATGCAAGTTTCTCAATGTCTTTTATTTGAACTTTGGTTGGTATCAGGACCATCATTTGATTCTACTCATGTTGATGATACTTTTTGTCACTATACATTGTATCTGACACAATAACATCTATGACCGCATCCATGGTGTAGTGGTTAGAGCGTCCGCCCGGAGAGCGGAAGGTCACGGGTTCGATCCCCGACTGCGTCATACCAAAAGACGTTAAAATATGGTACTTTTTGGTCCCTGCCTGTCGCTCGGCATTTATGGGTGCAACAAGGACTGGTCGGCTCGGAGTCAGTATAATGTGTCTGAGTGGGGTATTCATGCTTCACTGCGGCATGGTATTTCAGTGGGCTAGCACTATAAAACCATCTTCAGTCTGGGCTAGTACAAGCAGCCGCACATGTACACACACACGCATGCACGTGGTCATATGAGCAAAATATTCTCAAGCACGACGTTAAACCCAATTTCGCCTCACCTCAATAACATCTATAGATGTCAGTAGAGACTGGCCAACAAGCACAAATGACTGTAACAACATTTGTGTTTTTAAAATAACATTCATGCTTCTCTGAATGTGATAAAATATTTGCAACTGCAGAGTGCCTAAATGCATTAAATACTAGAATTAAGGCGTAAACATTCCCTCTGGATTATGGTTGCCTAATTCTGTGGTTTCCACAGACACATACAGAATGAGGTGAAAATTTTAACACTAAGTCCAATGTGTTAAGCCCATTTCTGGTGTCCCCTGCCGTGATATTGCTGGAATATTGCTAAAAGCGGCGTAAAACTAAACTCAGTCAGTCAGTCAGTAACACTAAGTCATAGCTATCCCTAGTGGTATGCCCTTCCAACTGACAGAGTTACCTCCCCCTGACCTAGATGTCACTGTATAGTAGTTTGAAAATCCTCACAAAATTTTCTGTATGGTATACACTGTACACGTGTATAGAGTGGAGTGAAAAATTTACTTCTATCAGCTTGTTTTCTACACTGATCCATCCCTATATAGGTTAGTGTTGTCGACATTAGTCCTTTGGACATCGTATTTTATATTATTTTTTACGTTTGTACTTGATATATATTTTCCCGCCCTTTTTTCCTTTGTCTAACTATAAGCTATGGCTAAGAATAAGTGTGTGCAATGTCAGAAGTTCATGTCGGATTTAGACCCCCATTCTCTCTGTATTTCTTGTTTTACTGGTAATCATTGTACCTTGCAAGATCGCTGCCTTCTGTGTTCAGAATTATCAGAGGTTGAGTGGTTAAGTATGGATTCTGCAAGATCTCAGACTAAGAAACGTAAGAGCTCCCCGTCGTCGGAGGCAAGCAAAAGTAAAAAATCCACTTCGGGGTCCCCGCCATCTTCACAGAGATCTGAATCAAAATCAAAATCTAGATCTAGATCTAAATCGGATGCATCTCATTTGGACATTTCTGCTATCTCGGATTTATTTGCATCGTTTAAGTCAGAGTTGCAAGCCTCAGTTAGTCAGTCCATGTATGATATGGAAATGAGGAATGAGACCAAGATGAATTCTTTACAAAAACTGTTTCATGATGGCATTATGTACGGCTAGACGACCGGTGGTCGCACTGACTGGGTTGACAATGGCAAGTGCCGGGGGCAAGAGTCAGTTTCTGTGAAACTCGGGGGTGCTCTACCTGGGAAAGCCGGGTATCACCTTACGACCGGATCAGAAGGCTGTTCCCCACACTGGGGGAACCCAGGGGCTTCATGTGACAGGGACGGGGTCAACCTGGCTGACCCCAGGCAGGCTTTAATTGCGCTCCAGGCAAAACAAGCCGTGTCCCTTGTTCCTGGGAGTAAGGCGGTCACGCTTGATCCCAGTCACTCAAAGCCTGCTACCTTATCCCACGCGGGGAATGTGCTGCAGTCATATCCTAGCGGGACTGACTCCATGCCCTCGGCTTGCGTCGCCCACCTTTGATTTAATCAGCGAGCCACGGCTGCCACGGGGGTTAGCGGTGTCCAGGACCAGCAGTCCAGTAGCCACGTGCCAAGCGGGATTTCCACGGGA